TCAATTACCATAATGAAAAAATGAATGTCCGTTTAGCAACACAAGTTCTAAGTGATAACATTAGCAAAATATTAATATATTGTGCAGAGAAACAGTTTGATGGTTTTGAAGGAGCTTTAGCTACAGCAGAATTTGTTCATTAATAAATAAAGCATATTAAATTGTCGAAATTTTCTAAAAAAATGTAATTTGCTTATTAATACACTATAATTAATAACACTATAATTGAGGAATATTTACAGTTTGTGTCAACATTTAAAACTTATATTTCTAATTTAAAAAATAGTACCGATAGAAAAATTATATACTCAACACGAAGTACTGGATTCATTGGAATAGTTACTTGTTTAGAAAATGCACTTGAATTATTTAAAACTTTATATTCTAAAAAATATATTCAATACTTATTCACATATAAATTATTACAAGACCATTTAGAGTCATTTTTCAATGCAATTCGAAGCCGTGGAGGATTTAATAGTAATTCAACATGCATTCAATTCGAAAGTGCCTACAAAAGACTATTGGTACACTATCAAGTATCAGAATCAGAATACGCTAATTGCACAATATTGGATTATCCTATGTCAATATTACCGGTTTCGAAATAAAAATATTACTGATATAACTCATTATAGTAAAAAAGGTGATCAAGTTCATCTTAAACTTTAAAAGTAAACTTTTTAGTCGATCATGATTATGTTTCTACTATTACTTCTTTAACTCCATTTGTCGAAGATTTCACTGAATATATAGCTGGATTTGTAATCAAACAATTAAAAAAAAGATATCATGTATAATATGCGAAAAACAATTGAAAGTAAATGAGATATCTAACTTACTGTTACTTAAGAAAGATAGAGGTAAATTGATTAAGCCAAGAGATGTTACTTATATTTGTACTTGGACAGAAAAAATTATTAGACAAAATCAAAATAATATTTTTAAACAAAATATAAAAACTGTAATTATTAACCAAGCCAACCATTATGCAACATATATTACCTTATATATTTTTTTATATGGATCAGCATATTCTTAAATTCACCATTTAATAATCATAAAAGACAATTAATTCTATGTATAATAGAACACTATATAAATATAAGATTTTATTATTTTGCAAAAACGTGATAAAGAAAAAAAATCGACAAAAGTTAACAAAATTAATTTTATTTCAACATGAATAAAAAAGCATGTTAAATATGAATTGCATTTTTTATTTCTCCTATTTTTCCTAAATTCTCTAATGTTATAGGCAAAAAATTAATTCTAAAAGAATGATCAAAACTATTAATTTTTATTATAAAATTCAAGAACTTAAATAATTTAATAATTGCAAGAAGTATTTGTGAAATTTTTTTATTTTACAAATAAATAAATAAATTTTATAAATTTTGAGAACTTTAAATTATAAATTTAATTTAATTATCATATTCTTAATATATAATAATTCTTAGAAAAAAAGTTATTATTTCATTTAAAATTAAAAAAGAATTTACATTCTATCCATTTTTCTAACAGATTTTATTAAAACATTAGGTTCGCGTTAGAATTTTAAATATTTAAAGCAGAATAAATATATTTGTGAGCGATGAAAAAAGAAAGAACAAGAAACTTAAGTGCAATAAGTATAAACAACACGAACCGCCTATTTATAGAAAACCATTTATTATTAGTCTCAAAACATTTATTGTTCAAAATAATTATAACTATCATATTTTTCCAAGAATTCGCATTTTTAAAAGGAAAATTATTCTTCTATAATTTCATTATTTAAAAAATGAGTGTATTGTGTATCATGTATATAAAATAAAACAACATTAGAAACTATAAAATCAAAATTTAAGTATGCAGCAAATACGCCATGCATGATTCATTAAATATTATAATTTTTATTTTACTCTTTTTTTATTATTTTACAGAATTACCATGAAAAATAAACCTTCGATATAGAATTACATATCGTTTATTTTAAAACTCTTTCCACAGATTAATCTAAAGTTTTATCTGATATGTTTTTTCACTTTTCTTATATATATATATTTTTTTTATCTTATTGCATTTTATATGTTCGACTATAAAGTCTTTCATTCTTCACTCTTCATCAACATTTATTGTTTTATTGGCTTTGTATTATTGGCTTTCATATTATTGACTGCGTTCAGCAGAGAAAGCAGATTAGTGAGCGTTCAGTGATTCTTTATTATGATTGATTTTTACACTTACATTCAAGATCTCACGAAAATTACACGAAGATCTAAAAGCAAGGACCAATCATATTGAAAAATCACTGAGCGCTTACCGATCTGCTTTCTCTGCTGAACGCAGCCATTATATTAATCCGCCATATGCTTCGAAACTCATGCGTAATATATATTTCCGGACATCTTAAGAGAAAGAAGTACCAAAAAGTACGTCTCTCTGTCTAACCTCCCACGGACACTGTTTCTTATGCAGAAACTATAGCAATTGCCAGTCCATATCTATAATGTCTAGTGACATAATCATATTTGTATTACCAGTCCATACAAGGTCTATGATGAGCGCTTACAGCGCGTGAGCGTTAAAACACGCACCCATAGAGAGTAGTGCAACTACGAAAGTACTGCCTTG